AATTTTGCAAAATGCGTTATCTGCGAAATCATCTGAGTTTACCTTCAGTACGGCAGGGGATAAAGATACTCCATATCATAAAAGCTTATTGCCAGAAAATCTAGAGGCTCGTATATTTTAAAAAATCTAATATATTATAATTTTATATATTAAATACAATTTTATAATTCATACCAAAATAAAATAGATATATTATCAAAAATATTTTTTTGTAAATTATAGTCTTAATTATAGAAATAAAAAAATTAAATTAAATGCATAATTTAACTTTTTGCATAAAAAATATTGATTTCTTAATTACATTTGATTCAAAGGGGGGGGGGGGTGGTGAAAAATCAATATAAATATCAGTATCGGGTCGGGTTTGAAGCAATATCGGATCGGTGAAAAATATGTGGATCGGCACAGCCCTAAATATAAGCAATTATACTACAGTATTGGGCTGGGAACCAACATTTAAATCCCAAGATTAACAAAATATTGGTTTTGGTTCTAAGTATTATATTGAGTTATTATATCTTCTATTTTTTGTTTTAGTATTGCTATTGGTTTGACTATAATTGTTAATAAATTTAAAGAATAAAAAATAGTGATTTTAAAAAACACTGTTTAAATAATATATATATATGAAATAGTGGCGTAGCCAGGATTTATCCAATAACAAAAATTTTAAAGAGAATTTCATTATAGATTTTATCTATTATTCAAATACTATATATAACATCCCATTATTCAACCAGCTATGTTAAGCACTAAGCGCTCATGATTGTCTGATCAAAATTTTGAAATCAATTGTTGCTAAAAATAAATAAAAAATTGTTACATAAAGATGTTATCTTATAATATATTATTTTTGTATAATTTTATTAATATTATAATTAAATATATGAATATTTTTTTTATAAAACAATCTTATATATTCTTTTTGTAAAGTTTTATTTTATTATATATTGTCAGAAAAAAATAAATATTATTTTTGTATATATTTAATTTTTTTAAGTAACGAGTAGCCCGTTACTTTTTTGAAAAGTCGGTAACGCGCGTTCCTTTCTTGAAAAGGTAATGAGTAACGGTAACACGTTCCTTTTTTCAGATGTAACGAGTAACGGTAACGCGTTTCTTTTTTGTAGTAACGTTTACAGCACTAGTTTTTACAAATATCGGCAGATCCAATATTTTTGGAAAACGCTAAATATCAGTATCGATCCGATATTTAATATCGCCACAGTCCTAGGGAGCACTATTATAGGTGGAAGTTTTCCCCATAAATCTTACTGGAGATTTTTAGGTCCACTTATTTTAGGCCTTTGGCCCTATTAGATTTTTTAAAAATAATTTTGATTTCACTTTTTTAAATGCTTTCTTTCTAAATGAATTTTAATGGATATTTTAAAAAATTATTAGCTTTTACTATTTTTTGAAATCTTCCTTATTGTAAACATTTGTAAATTTTTATTAGCTTAAAATTATATTTACAAGAACATGCAAACCCTCCCCCTCTCCTTCGGTTACATCATACATTTTTTACCCCAAATTTAAATATATCATTTCTTAATTTACAAGAGAATAATTGGGTTTAAATTTTTTATTTTAGAAAATTTATTATAGGAATATAATTTTTTATGCTACCCTGTCCTTGCTCGATGTCTTATTTTATAAGAACCATGCACAGGGGACTCAGTCTTTAAGAATATATTTAATCATTTGAGTCGCCCCAATATTTATCACTTGATTAGTACCTATTATATATTAATTCATCCATCTATTTTGACAGTCACTAACCAAAAAGCGAGTTACAAGCTAAATGAAAACTCTAATGTCACGCCTTAGGCTGCGTCTTCATAGGATTTTGAATTAGGATTTAAAATCAATTCTATTGAAATGGAGTAAGGGTTTTCTCCGATCAAAATATTATTTAACCCAATGATTTTACCATCTTTATAGATATTATATCTTAAGGTTATTTAGTATAAATAAAATAGTAGTTATCTTTTCAATAAATTTGATGCGAATCTGAATCCAATATTACATGAAGTTCTGTTCTCACAACTTACGACTTAAGTTGGTTATCTAAAGTAAAAATATACAATAAAAGAACAGAACAAATGTTGTTTGTTAATATATACTCATTTGAAATAGTCGTCCTCTAGTTGACTCAAACTCGAGTAGTTAGTCCACTACAAACTGAATTGGAGTCGGGTGAAAACGACTTTTTAAGAAAACAAGTTATCAATTATCATTATCATTTTTTAATTGTTATTATCATCATCTTATTATAATATATTGGAATAATTGAAATATGGATTAAATTGCATAATATTCGATTGAATAAATTGATTGGAATGAATAATTTAGAACATTGAATAATGGAATGATAAATCTAATAGATGATGATTTATATATATGCTGATTTTTTATTATTCCATAATGTGATTGTTTATTTTTTATATTAAAGATATTTTTAGTTATAATCGCTTTAGATTTTTAATCTTCGAAATTTTATTTGTAAATGATTCTTCTATTTTAGTTTCATCGTTTTTTTTTAAAGTTGGTTATTTTGTCTACTATTATACTATCATTATTCTTGATATCACTAATTTAATTAATTACTAAAATTTTATTTTATTTTATAATATCATCATTTATAATTTCATAAGTTTTTTCACTAATAATCTCTTTATTTTCTTTACATTTATTTTTTTATTCATTAATTTTATTTTCTTTAGATGCTGATACATTATTGAAAATTCTTATAATATCTCTGATCAGGCGTGTAACCAATAGGGGAGAGATTTCACCCCCCCCCCTATCGCAAATTTGACTGTTTTCTTAAATACATTTTAAGCTAATAAAAATTTACCCCCCCCCCCTACCCCGTCAAAATTTTGCAATATCAATCAGAGTTTATCCTTGCTGCTAGTTGCATTAATAAATTATTTTCCTATAGCCCACTACTTTGTAGAAATTTACAAAAATCAAATTTCGATTTGGTTCAGGTTATTGATTTGGAACAAAATGTATATGAACAGGTAAATAAGAATGAATGTTGATGAATATTTTCATAATATTTATTTAGACATCGAAAGCTAAATATTATGATATAACACTAATTAAACCTCGTCCAGCACTTAGGCAATTGATGTAATATAAATGTTGATTCAACTGAAGAATATTATAAAATATCCAATTTCATCCCGTTCTTAGATACTCTTTTATCGCAAATTAAAGTACGGTTTTTAGATTAAAAACAAGTCTTTAGTAATCTTCAAATTTTATTACCTAAGGACCCTTTTTCGTTTTCTGATGCCACTATTGGTAAAAATAAATGTTTAGCAAAATTTTATTCCTATGATATTTATACTGAAATCAATTTAATCAGTGAATTCGAATTGTGGTATAAATATTTACTACATTTGTTTGTTTTTGAGCATGCTATTGATGCGCTTAATCGGTGTAAGGAAACCTTGGCTCAATTTCCAAATATTTTGAAGTTGTTTAATATTCTTGCATGTTTGCCTATTATAACATACAAATGAAAGGACCTTTTTCAAAACTTATTTACAAAATACTACTTCCGAATCTCGGCTAAATGGGTTAGCTCTGTTAAAATCCACAGAGATTTAATTCCAACGACAAATAAAATTCTTGATGAATTGGCAAATTTCCCACGAAAATTAAAAATCGCATTATAATTATAGTATTTAATAAATTTTTTGTATAATATTGTATTTGATAAGAAATTATAAAAACTAATTTTTTAAAAATTTTCCTAGTCAATATTTTATACACACTCAATAATTAGTATTTTCAATAAAAAAAATTTATTCTATTTATATTGTATGAGAATTTAAGCTGAGGCTAGTTTTTAAGCTAATTTTATAAAAAAAAAATAAAACTAAACTTTATTTCAATTGTATATTTTAAAAAAAAATTTATTTAATATAATATACCTAACTTAAAATAAATAAAAATTGGGTTATAACCTTTATTTAATTTAAAAGAACTCAAAAATATGACCCGGCCGAAGGTCAGCTAATTGGGATTTCCTTCCTGGATACGTCAATGTCTCTTACTGATGTCTCCATATCGCTTAAAACGTATTCTGACAAAATTTTCTAATATAATTATTGATTTTGTTATCTTTTAATTATTCTTTGATTTTTATATTTTTAGGTTCATTTTTTATATTTTTATTTTTAATCTCTAAATTTATATTTCACTACTATACAAATTATATTTTAGGTTATCTCGTTCGTATAGTATGAATTTATGTTTTTTATGTATATGTTTTATAATTGCGATTGCTGCAGGTTACGGAACAACTACCCTATAATACATCATCTATTAACCTTTATATTCTTGACTCTTATTATAGTAATATTCTTGTTATAATATTAATTTCTATGATTGATTCTACAAATATACTCTTTGTTGAAATAATTGTTTTATTATTATATCTACTATTATAACAATTATAGTAATACCTTTGATTATCATGATAGTATCTAATAAAATTTAAGGTTATATATATATTACAAAATAAATAATTAAAATATAAGTTAGCAAGTAATTTTAAAACTAAAAATATAATATAAATTGATTACAAAATTGATACAAGGTTAAGTTTTATAAAATACATATTATTTGAATATTAAATTTTTTTAAGATACAATATTGAATATATTAATTTATGGTTATAAACAATACACAAATGCTTCCCAAATTTAACGAAAATATGTTGTAAGTTATTAAATTTAATATTAATCTATATTAACTATTTCCATTTTTAAAACAATTGAAAATCAAATCGGGTCATCCAATATTTTGGAGCTTCGGGTTTTGGCGAAATTTTTAACTCTTCGGGTTCGGTAAGGTTTAGTAAATAATATCGGTTTCGCGGTTCGGTTTTGATCTGGGTTTTTATTAATCATAAAAATTGAAATGAAATCCCTGGCCCTGTTATATTCACCTATAAACTAAATTTTCTATTTCAACTTAAGGCATATTTCCTCACAGTCTCAGGAGAACACTGGGTGATTTCGGTCCCCCCTTAGCATTATTAGTAATGACTTGCATCGATACCTACCTGGTCGGGAATAATGTTTACACTGAAAAACTCAATTTGCACTCTTCTTTACACGGCGAACGAAAGATCGTCACCGTTATATCCCCTCAATCTGCCAAAAAAATAACAAAGGTGAAGCTCTATCAATTTGCCGCCTCACTTTTTTCTCCCACTTTACCGGATCGTAGGGCCTGGTTAGTTAACCCCTTCGGACAAGTATTATAAAAAAAAATTATCATCTCTTGTTGATTATTTATTCCATTTTAATAATTTTTATTTCTCATTTTTAAACTATTAGAAGTATTATTAAATTAATTTAAATTATATTTTCTAACTTACCTAATTAGTTACAATACGGAATATTATTTTATAAAAAAACAATTTAATTCTTTGGGAGGAATGGGGGAGGGAGGGGTTCGAAATGATTTATATATGGACCAAGTTACTAAAATTATACTCTGGGACCTGAGGCCATCTTCTGATGATAAATTAACAGGTTCAATAATATTTTGTATTCAGGCCCTCGTAAAACTGATGATTATTGAATTCATAGTTGCAGATATTGCTTATCTGCCTTGATTGTATATATTTCAGTTACCTGCAGGCCCGGCCCTAAACCCTCGGGTACACGAGCCGGACCATATATTAATTTTTTCAATATATCCGGGTCGGGTCTGAAAATATAAATCTGGGGTCAGGCCGTATATGTGGTTTAGCGAGATCACATCCAATTCAGAGACCTCAGGTTATTTTTAAGAAATTGCCTAGGTTAAAATTTAGTAATACTTCCAAGTAGTGTTGTTAAACGGCTTGTTTTGAGCCGATTTTTAAAAACGGCTAACTCAATATTTTACCCAGAAAAATATTACTCAAGCTAGAAGATTTTGCTCATAGAAGGAACAAAGGTCTAGACATATATTATCAAAATCTCGAGGCTCAGTAAATATTTTTCTGGCTAAAATATTGAGTTAACCTTTTTAAAAAATCGGCTCAAAACGAGCCCTTTAACAACACTACTTCCAACCATTCATACCACTAGTAAAATTTGATCAAATTGAGTAGTTTGATCGGAGGCACGACGAATTTTAGTATTTGTATTTAGTGAAATAAATATCAAAAGTTTTTTGGTTGCCAAATATAGCCAGTGTCGAATTACGCCTTGAATTGTCGTCTTTACAAAAATTAATCATCAAAATAAATAAAAATACTGATAATATTATTTGTATTAGTGAGCTGAATAGTCTGATAATAAAAATGGGAAAATACAAGATAATAACAATAAATAGTGCCAATCAATGCTTATTATGTGCCTAAGATTCAGCGCTATACAATAACTTATATATGAAAACATTTTAACATTATTATTTACGCAAGAAAATTGTGAAAAGTTTAATAAATTAAAATTATATAAAAATAGGCTGATAGCAAGTATAGGACAAGATAAATTGATGGCACTTTTATTAAACATTACCAGTCCGCCTTGGAGTAAACCCACCTTGTGCTAATCGTAATTAATGTGAATGATGTAATTTGTTGATTTCTATAGTGAGATCCAGGGATTCGAACCGAACCCGAACCCGGAGAAGTGAACCCGGGTTTTTAGAAAAAAACTCTGAACCCGAACCGAACCTGAACCCCATTTATAAAATTTCCAAAACCCCGAACCGAACCCAAGAATTTTATTTGAACCCGGGTTCAATCGGGTTCAGTGTATTATTTAAAATCATATATTAATATATGTAAATACAAATATTATATTTTCAAATTTCCAATTAAATGAAGTCTTAATAAATTTTAAACAATTTAATTCATTTATGCCATTTTTAAATTTATTCTCGATTCCTATTGGAGTGTTAAAAAATTTTAAACAATTGAATTAATTTACGCCATTTATTTTTAAATTTTTATCTTATTATTCTTAAAGATTATTAATTAGAAGAAAATGGTTAACAAATCAAAGTAAAAATTATTATATTGTTAATTTAAAAAATTCTAAACATCTAACTTAAAAATTGTTAAATGTAGGGCAGTTTTTGTGAACTTATTAAAATGATTTTAAAATTTATATATGCTAATCATTTATTTTTGGTTTAGTTTAATTTTTACAAGATATTAATGAAGTGCATATTATAAATGAAATTAAATTTATAAATATCTCTTTTTTAATTCTGAAATCATTGCTATTTAAAAAAATTGTTCTCTTTTTATAGATTTAAGATTAAAGATAAAGTCATATTTGATAAGCATTTTACCTTTAATAAAATAGAAAAAAAAATCAATATGTTCATATTGCAAAGTAAAAATGTCTGGTAATCACTTGTCAAATTTAGAAAGACACCTGGAAAGAAATCACAACAATGAATATTTAAATTATTTAAATGAAAAAACCAAATATCAGGAATTGTTATTGGCAAAAAAACCTAAAATTAATATAGAAACCTTTTTTCCAAAAAAGCATATAAGTATAAATATATCATCTAATGATTTGATGAGTTCTATACTAGAACTTGTTACTGTAAATGGCCGGCCTTTATCAATTATTGAAGATTCGGGATTTCAAAGAATTATAAATCCACTCCTATCTGGGCTCAATTTAGTTATAAACAAAGAAAATTTATCCAGAACTATTAATAAAACAGCCCAATCAATTAGAGACAAAATATCGAGAGAGGTAGAAGGAAAATTAATAAGTTTAAAAGTTGATGCAGTTCAACGACTAGATAGGTCAATTCTTGGTGTAAATATTCAATTTATATCAAAGTCCATTATAAATCTGAGGACTCTTGGAATTGTAGAGCTGAAAGAGAGATGTACAGGAGAATATATAAAAGAGAATATATTAAAAACTTTACTAAAATTTAAAATTAATATTCAACAAATATACAAAATTACTTCTGATAATGGTTGTAATTTTTTAAGAGCTATAAAGTTCCTGCAACCTGAAACTGATTATGATATAAGGAGTGAATCAGCAGATGAGGAAAATATGGATGTAAATGTATATAAATATGATATTGATGATATACAAAATACTTTTTTATCAACTATTATATCCTATCCGATTTATAGTGTACGGTGTGCACACACTTCAGCTGGCACTTCAAGATGCTATAAAATTATCACCTATTGTGGAAACCATTGCAAAAGCTAGGAGCCTAAATTTAAAATTAAGACATCCCACTTACCAAAAGTTATTAAAAAATATGAAACTCCCTAAGCCTGTGTTAGATTGCCACAGATGGCATTCAACCCATGATATGTTAGAAAGGCTGATTTTACTAAAACCCAATATCGAAGATTTTTTTACAGAGCAATCTGATTATTTATTGACTGAAGATTGGAAAGAGATAATAACGATTGTTGAAATTTTAAAACCGCTAAAAATCGCAACCAAACAATTCCAATCTGAACAGTTAACACTGACAGATTTTTATGCAGCATGGTTAAGATGCTGCATCGAACTGGAAAAAAATCCAAACCATTTTGCTCAATTACTATATTCTTGTCTTAAGAACAGAGAAGAAAGGTTTATAAAGAACGAAATTCTCTTAGCTGCCATATACCTGGGCCCAAGATACAAGGTTAATTAAAAGCTTAGTAAATTAATTATTTTAGATTTATATTAAAATTGTTATTTTATGAAATATTTAAATATAAACAATATAAATCCTTAAATATTACAGGTATTACTTAGTGATGATGATAAGATTTGTGCGAAAAAACATCTTGTCAATTTATGGAGACGAATTAAAAGCTTAACAACGCCAATTTTATCTGATGATATTAGTTCCGATGAAGTTATTGAACAAGAAGATGATTTAGAGAAATTGATACAACTTAAAGAAAGGCAGGAGAAAATACTTAAAAGAGGGCCAACGATTTCTGAGAAAAGTATTGGAACAATAATTACTGGATTTAGCGATTATATAAGATTAGATAAGAAGGAAAATATTTTGCATTTTTGGGAGTCTGCTAAGCTGGAACACCCTGAATTATATATTTTATCTATAATCTTATTTGCTGTTCCTGCAACCCAAGTTAATTTTTCATATTTTCACATATAAATACATTTAACATAGGTTAGCGTTGAAAGATCTTTTTCACATTTGAAATTCATTCTTTCACCACATAGATCGAGGATGAGTGAACAACTCTTGGAAGATATTATGCTAATACGTCTAAATAAAATTTTTAAAATTGATACATGACTATATGCTTTGTATTTTTAACTATATTTGCCTATAAATAAAATAAAAAATTTATTTTTTATATCAAATTTATGTCTAGTTTTTTATTATGATTTAAATATAGAATTTTTTTTATCAACTCAAAAATTCTTGAACCCGAACCGAACCCGAACCAAACCCGGGTTCAAAAATATTTCCCTGAACCGAACCCGAACCGAACCCAACTCTTTTTTTTATACCCCGAACCGAACCCGAACCGAACCCGGTCTAAAATTTTGTCGGGTTCGCATCCCTGGTGAGATCACTAAAAAAACTTATATAATTATAAATAAGACTGACTTCCTTCAAAATTTTCATAATATCTCCAAAACCTTTATCTAATAAAATGATGTAAAACAGTAGATTACTTGCGATGACAGCTTTTGTAGACATTCATTACATTTAAATTGTTGTTGGTACCTTAGAAAACAATTTATACTGATTGCTTCCTTTTTGATTTTAGATTTCCCAGAATTTTATTTTTAAAAATCATTATTGTAAATTATACTAGCAAAATATTGTCTTATAAGTCGAGTCCATGGTTATTTGTGATTAAATTCCTCGCCAAATTTGATATATTTTAAGGTTGTTTTATCACATTATTCTTATAAATTTTATATTGAAATGTAATTGTTATGAAAATAAAATGTATTAATTCGATTTCTGCTAGTATTTAAAATTAATTTCAAAATGAAAACTAGCTAACATATTCTATATATTGAGAGTAGAGGTTGATCCGAAACCCTATCCAGGCCTGACAACTTGTGCAAAATACTTATAAGCTCGAATAAACAAAAACATAAGAGAAGACAATCTAGAGAAAGCACTCATTATTATATATCTCAGAACAACTGTTGGCCAAAAGTTAGAAATTTTTGAGCATGACCGAAAAACCATTTCAAAGTTTCCATGAGCCGGTTTGAGCTGAGCAGGTCACCGACCTCTAATTGAGTGGACATTATTAGTTTAGCGAACGATGTTTTTATTTATTTTTTGCGGGGGGGGGGGGGGGGGTGTTATATGTTTCTAAATGATAACTTTGAAAAACATGTTTGAAGCAAATAAAAAATTGACATAACAGACTAAAATATTTTATTCCGTGTAAAATTATTATTTAAAATTTTAATGAAAATATATATATAAATCTGAATATAATTAAAATTATATATCGTGGCTCCACTATATTTATTTGTTCTAGAGCAGCTGCAACTCGCTAGTTAATTTTATGGTAAGCCTTAACAATTTTAGTTTATATGCAATAATTTTAAAAATTTTATCTTTTGTTCAAAAAAATAGTTGTGTAAAATTATAAGCATTACAATCATAAGGAATAAAGTACATTTATTTATTTTAACAAAAGTCTACCTCTCTGACTGGCAAAGAAATAGTTCTGGCCTGCCTTCCCGCCGCCATGTTATTTATACTTCTCTTCGTTGAAGGCCAACTAACGGCCCTTCTAGTTAACAAAAAAGAGCGCAAACTGAGGAAGGGAACTGGTTATCATTTGGACTTGTTAGTGGTGGGACTCATTCAGATTGCTATGGGTTGTTTTGGTCTACCTTGGATCTCTCCCGCACCTATTCAATCCTTGGCTCACGTTTCATGTCTTTCTTGTTATAACACGCTCGAGAACGCCCCCGGGGAAAGGCCAAAAATAGTCATGGTGAGGGAACAACGCCTAACGGCCCTGTTAGTTAGCTTAATATCTGGTTGTACACTTTTATTTGGTAGGTTTTTTAATTTTGCTTTATTTTTAATTTCAGCTTATTTATATTGATACGGAAATAATAAAGTAAATAGCGAGCGTAAAAAAATTAAATACCGTTCGTTAAAGAATGGTGAATATTTTAAGAGAGAGAAAATCAATACATTTTCCTATTAAAATATTGTGATTTTTATTGGACTTTTACAACTAGATAATTCAATATTTTAAAATTTAAAATAGCTAATTGTGTGAGAACCTATATTATCGCTTATTTTTATCTTAAATAACGTGAGTCAATGGCTATACGAATTTTATAGAACATTATACCTTTTAATATATTTTTTATAGGTAGCTCTCAATTACAACGAATTCCGGTTGCAGCTTTGTTTGGCGTGTTTCTCTACCTAGGTATTATTAATTAATATTGAAAGAGTAATAGTAACAAAACCTTCAAAAGCCACAATTGTTGAATAGTTAATCTATCTGCAACACCTTTTTGCATTTTACACAACTAATATAAATAACCTAGTTAGTTTACAAATTAGCTATAAGCTTGGCTGGTTTATAAACTAACAGATGGGGTGAGTTAATACAAAGATAACCGAAAACTGGGGAATTATAAAAATAAAATGACTAAAATATATTCTTTGCCGGTAGAATTTTTTAAGCATTCACTCTTCTCTTGGATGATATATATCCACCTTTTTTTTAAAATATATATATTTTTATAGTATCCATTTTAATATATATTTTTTAATCCTCTGTAAATTATATAATTTATTTTATAAAAAAATTTTTTTAAATAAAAAAGTCGAATTAAAAAAAAAAAAAAATTTACTAAATTTAAAAAAAATCTTAAAATTTAAAAAAAAATTACAAAGCAAAAAACAAATTTAAAAACACTGTTCGCGCAATATTAGCTTTTTATCGTATTTTAAAATATGAGACTTGATATCTCAGGCTGCAGCTTTTATAATTTAGTAGTAGTAAACTAAAAAAGAAGTTAAATAGATTTGTGATGTGATGCTAAAATAAGATAAATTGGTTACGGTGAAAATTAAAAGATTAAACGCTGGGTTTGAACGATTGTTTGGTAAGGTAGTACTATAAGTAAGGGAGAAGTTACATAACTGGCCATGGTTAAGAATTGGATTTAATCAAACAAATTTAATATCAACGTGTGGCCCATTCTATGTCATAAAATTAAAATCAAAGCCTAAATAGTATATAAATTTTATCCCTATCATATTTTTATGGTGGCCTTCCCTTTTTCGTCTAAATATCAATATTTTAAAAATATCCATGAGGGCATTTTACGCCAATAGAATATGGAAACGAGTATCTAAAATATCTTAGTATAAGGTAAAAGAAATGATGGAAACCTATTAAAAGGAACTAATTTACTATAGGTATAGAGAATCTGTTGTTATTAATTTCCCAAATACTTATATTTACTTGAATGTGTGAAATTTAAATATAATAGAGATGGCTATTATCTTAATATTATTTGAGAAATAGAATAGTCTGATTTCAACTTTTTTACTAAAAAGTAGGGTTGGTGAATTTACATGAAAATTATATTCAATGTAAATAATATATCTTACTTAGATTTTATAAATAAAAAAATAATTAATTTTTTTTCCATCAGATTTTGAATACTCTTGGTCTAATCAAATAAAGCATTTCTTAATAAAACATCAATCATTAGGATATTTTTAAAATCAAACAGAAATATGGGTTAAATATACTTCTGGTAAATGAATAATAGCAGGTTTTATTAAAAGAATATTATTTCTCTTATTTATACCTAATTGGTAATAAAATTCCACTAATTTCAAGGCTGCCACACCATAACCCTAAAATTATACCGTTCCATTAGTTCTCCTATTTACCAAAACCATTTTTTAACCTGTATTTTTATGTTTGGTTATCTCAAATCAAAATTAACCTTGTATTTTGATTAATTTTATCAAGGGTTTTCTTCCTTAAACGGCATCCAATTTTTCGAACGCCTCAAATTGTTTTTAATGTCTCCCAAGTATTACTCTCAACTCACGGAATCTGCTTACATCAGAAAAGTGTCCTATCCTAAAATCCATTTGTACACCATGATCCAATTCTCTTGTCTGGCCCTATTGTGGGCGCTAAAATTTACTCCGCTTTCTCTCTTTTTCCCTCTTGTTTTGATGTTTATAGTGCCCCTACGTTACAACTTAGGATGGGCTTTTACTAAACAAGAACTCAATTACGTAACGATTTTTTAATTTTCCTTATATTATATTAGGCCGTTGAAATTGTTACATATTGTTTTTGGCTCGTCTATGACCTGGAGAACTATCGATATTATAAAGTCCTCTGACCTGGTATTTAATTCAAGGGCTGGGGGATTTAATTATGCATATGTTTATATTTTTACCATGTACATCACTCAAATATTTGTGATTTTATTGTTTTTTTAAAAACTTGAAATTCATTAAACTTAATTTCCTTATTTTCTTGTTTTAAATAAATATCAGCCATAGGATTTACTTAATTTTATAAAAAATAAAAAATGCATATCAAACAGCTAGATATGGAAGAAGAAGAAATTTCAGACGAGGAATACGATTTTTATACAGAGGCGCATATGCCCGTTTAATTTTAAAGAATAGAGATAAAAGAATTTTTTAGCCTATAAGATCCTTTATTTATATCCGTTTTGGGTTATAACTAATTTAAACAAAATAAATCTTTTTGTCATTTTTTTAACGCCATAATTGAAAGGTGCTATTAGATGTTAGATATATTTTAAGATATTTTAACCACCGTTTCATGTTAGAAATATTTTTCTTTTTCGTCTTACACAAATTAGTTATAAAATGATTTATATACATACTTTGTCATTGATTAAAAATATTATGTATAAATAAAACGAGGCTATAAGTGCTTTAAAAAATTTATATTAAAATTATCATAGCTTCATGGTACCCAAATTTACACAAAAAAATATTTATTATACCGGTGTTTATTTTCATCATAATTTTATTTGGAATTTGTCATATTATTTTTAATAACCAAATTTATTTTTCTCTTGTAAGTTATTACATCAATATATAATAAATATTTTATATTTATGATTGAATTTTAGCTTTCTATTATAAAATCGGAACAAATTTTTCAGGCAGTTTTTGCAAAATATTAATTAATTCATGTCTTTATTGACTTTTGGGAAATTTTTAATTGTTTAAAGTTGTGAATTTTTTAAATATTGGAATGTTAAATTGCTTGGATGGGTCAAATTAGCGTGATTTTTGGTATGGTTTTTTATGGAAATAAAGCCAGGCCCAACTCAACTAAATGGGTTAATCTGTATTTTTAATTTAATTTAGGTTAAATTATTTGTTTTTCTTTTAATTAATAGGCAATTAACTATCTTTTATTTATATTTTTTGGCGCTGAATAAATTTAATCATCCTATTCAGCTATGGAGAATATCAGGCATTGTGCAAGCCATAAAAATTAAACATATTTTATATAGAATAGGAATTAGTCTTATATTCTTTATTAAAAGAAATTCCTCTTTATCAGATAGTTTTTGGGAGGCCTGGGATCCATAGTGAAACAAATCATTATACCGGAATGAACCCTTAAATTTATAAACTGCAACCAAAACTTTATACCAAATACCGAATCTTTATATTTTTCTTGACTGGGTTAAAGCCGTTTTATTATAAATTAAATTGGGCCTGATTTTTTATAAATTAAATTGGGCCTGATTTTTTATAAATAAAACTTTCCTGTTGAGTATATAGCTAGATTTTTATAATATTTTAAGATATTTTAATTTTTTATTTCTTGATTAGATTTAAATTTAGGTAATAATAAAAATTAATTAATATTTTTACCAGAAATCCGTCCGAACCGTTATGCATAAAATTATAAAGTATTAAGGATAATTTATTATTGAAAAAAACTAGTATCCCTTTGCTCCCCTGATAAATATAATTTATATAAACAATAAAAAAGAAAAGTTTGTATAATATAAATTAGCCACCATTTAATCATTAATAAAAATGTGCGCTATAAATGATTTAAATGTTTAGGACTCTAATGTACTCTGAACATATATTTATTCTATTACTATGCGCATATTATCAAAGTACAAAATATTTAAAAATTCTGGATTGATGAAAATATTTTTAAAAATTTATTTATAAATGGGATTAAATATGTTATCTGGAGTTATTTGGGTAGTGAGAATAATAGGGCTGAGTATATGTTCATCCGAAATTTTCAAATGCTTTCTTGTCTTGAGGATGTTAGCGTTCGTTTCGTTGGAGAGACCTACTGGGTCTATACAAGAATAATCCCAGACCGGAATTGTTTTATTTTTCAAGGAATTTTAAAAAACAGATAATATTCACTAAAACAATAGCAAGAAGATGATAATCTTGATAACAATAATGTCAATTTTCCTTTTCCAAAATTTGTGCTTGTTAGTGTTACAATCCGTATAGTAACCGAATTTAACCCTTAAATACTCCGATGAAAAAAATGACGTTTAGTACTCGGGTGGGGTTTAATAGACCCCAATTTCAAATGTCTATATCTCCAGTTATATTCATTATTTTTATTTAATATTTGGTTAATAGATAGAAATAACCTTAAACTTGATAAAATATTTATTTATTTTTATTTCTTAAGCTCAGATTAAAGATGATGGATAATTATAATTTGTGACAAAATTTTCTAAAAAGAACTTACTTTTTTTAAATTTTAAATATTAAATTATAAAAATAACTTATCTATCATATAACCATGATAATTCATAATAAGGATCTTTATTCTTCAGTATAAAAAAAAATTACACTAATATATTCTAACATAAAAAAAATATAGAACATTGAAATATGTTAAATTTGACATGCAAAACATTTATTACGTAAAATCATTAATGTGTTCTAAACATAATTTTACATATTTGAAAAAAAATATTTTGTTTTTTTTATTTTGATGGTTAGATTTAAAAATTCCAGCTAAATAAAGATTTCCCAATAATGTCTTGAATTGTGTTACATCAACTTCTTTTAGTAGAACTTTCATATTGGTCATTATAGTTATTACATATAATTTAATTTTTTCATTGGTATGATAAATAATCTCTTCAATCATTTTTGGTGCTATGAACAAGTTAAAACATTTTTCTGGAGTGTCAGCTTTTCCCTTATTCTCTCACTCCTGGCAGATGAATAACTAAATTTTCTTGAGTTCTTATTCTTTGATTAGGAAGATCCTTTTTCCATTTAGTAAACTTTTTTTAGCTAATTTTAAAGAGAAATATACTATGATAAATGATTTCATATTTACCTAAATAATATTAAGTTTATTGTTCTTCAACTAACATTTCTTCATCTAATTCAGATTGTGTATCATTATCACTATCATATATAAAATCTTCATCCTCACTATTAATTATATTGTCATAATTACCTCAAATAAAATGATATTACATCTTAAATAATTATATATTTAGTTTCAGAATCTGCAAAAATCATTATAAATGATAAAAATAATTTGAGAAATGAGTCAGCCGGTGAAAAATAAAATAAAATAACTCCATCAGAGAAAATCTTTACGTTTTCTTTTTCATATATATCTCATTCAAAATATAAGATATTTAAATTTTGTTTTAATAAATTTTATAATATAGTAGTATATATTATAATTAAAAAAAAAATTACAAATTTACTCTGGTGGGGTCTCACAAACCCCAATCAGTCTCAAAATGCTTATATTTTAAAAACTAACCAATATATATGAAATTTGGAATATAGATTCTAAGATATATTTGATGAAGCTCCTGACGAATCCAGATCATAATATTTAACCTTTTTTATGTAATATCATTTCTAGCATGCCTGGTTTCATATACCCCACCAGAGTATTGAAGGGTTAAGGAAAAAAAGTTATAAGCAGAAATAAAAACTTGTCAACTTCACACTTAAAAGTGGATTGAAAGCACTAACTGAAATATATATAATTCTTTAGTGCTTCGTTACGTGGTTAGTGCTTCAATCACTTTTGTAGAATTTAAGAATAAAAAGTTATTTGCGAAAAAAACAAAAATAATGACAACGTGCCAAATCAAAAAAGCATTCAATATATTGTTTTAGCCAATATTAATATTCCGTTATTAATTTTTAACCGCACTAAAATATGGTTATAAGCTAAATAAAAATTTGACATGACGATTTAGGAGTGAATTGCCGAACGATTGGAGTACTAACGATGAAACTTATATCATTTTTTAGTCTTTCGATAGAGGTTAGTGCTTCAATCACTTTTGTAGCCAAATTTAAGAATAAAAAGTTACTTAAGAAAATAACAAAAATAAACAAATAATGGCGACGTGCCAGAACAAAAACTATATTACCAATAAACATCCGGTTTCGTCAATATTTATTGCTAGTAATTTAAAATTTTACAAGTAATTTGGTTAAACGCTTTATAGAAAAAAAAGTTATAAGCTAAATAAAAGAAGTTATGACTTACGATTTAGGCGTAAAGTTGGCCGAACGATTGGAAGCACTAACGATAAAACTTATACAATTTTTACTGCTTCATTAGTAAAGGTTAGTGTTTCAATCAGTTTAGTAGCCGGATTTAAAATAAAAAAGTTATTAACAAAATATATCAGCGACAGACATCTTATTTTCACCATTATTTAGTGCTTAATTATTAAAATTTAAATTCGGTAATTAGTTTTGTTAAAGCCCTATAGAAAGTCACAAGTAATAGCCTGTCAATTGTTTCCGAATATTATCTATCATATTTGAGTAATAAAATGTTTCAAAAGCTTATATATATTAAAGTGCTCAAAATACATCAACGAATAGCTATAACTAATGTTGTTAAACGACTTGTTTTGAGCCGATTTTTAAAAACGGCAAACTCAATATTTCATCCAGAAAAAATATTACGCAGGCCTGAAGATTTTGCTCATAGAAGGAACAAAGGTTTAGATGTATATTATCAAAATATAGAGGCTTTAGGTAATATTTTTTCTGGCTAAAATATTAATTTAGCCGTTTTCAAAAATCGGCTCAAAACGAGTCATTTAACATCTCTAACTATAACTATGCCTAAAACGAATTATTTGTTATTTGATATTCGATTCGTATTTTACGAATACGAATAATACAATTATTCATTTCGAATCGAATATGAATAATGAGGAAAATTATTCGAAATTATTTATATATAAATATTCGTAATTATTCGCAAATATTTTATTGCAAGTAAAATAAAAAGAAGTAATTAAATTTTCCTAGTGGATATTATTTCGTTTTATTTTATTTCCTATTATCAAATATCAAATCATAACAAGTTATATTTGCTGAAAAAGTTTAATGGAAGAAAAGGAAAAGCTTCAAAGTAATATATAATTATTTTATTTTGATTGTTTCTCTTTAATCATTTTTGATGTTCTGAACAAGTCAAAACATTTTTATAGAGTGTGCCTCTTTCCCATATTCTCGAGCTCCTGGCAGATAAATAACTAAATTTTTTTGACTAGTTCTTATGATTAGGAAAATACTTTTCTTATTTAGTAACCTTATTTTTGGCAAATTTTAAAGACAATCTAATTCAGATAGTACATTATAATATCTTCATCCTCTATTACATTGTCATAATCGCCTCTAAAAATTATATTAATAATTAAATAAAGGAAATTTATGCTACTAAAGTATTTTATATATTAAATAAAATCTATAATTAAATACTTTCTAAAATGTTGTTATATTTTATATGCAAATATTTAAAATGTAGATATTTTAAATAGATTATAATTTTAAAAATTTTATTTTGTTATAATCACCTTCACCTCTAAATAATAAAATGATATTAATAATAAAAATAAATACATGATTAAATAAAGGAAATTTATGCTACTAAAGTATTTTTAATAAAATCTATAAT